ACACACACACACACACACACAGAGGCCATAATAATGCAGTAATTCACTCACATGCACAATCTACAATTGAGTCTGCCAACTCTTATATAACCCACTGAGGTTGTATCAGAGGAGACTGGGCCCTGAAGTAGAGCACAGCTGGAAGGAAACACACACAGACACACACAGATAAGACTTGTAGCTGTGATTTTCCTCATTCATCACAACCCTCGAGGTGTAGCCAGGTCCAACATTGGAAGGATCTTCTTTGCAGGGTACAGTGTGTGTGTCTGCGTGTGTGTGTGTGTGCCAGAGAGAGACAAGTGTGATGAAAGAAAAACAAGCGTGTGAACTGATGGGTGTGTGTGTGCGTGTGTGTGCATGTGTGTTTTCTCCCCTTGTGCACATAGTCATGTATGTACAGGGCCTCTGACTTGAACTCAGGGGGGCAGTGTGAGGTTAAGTTGTACAAGACAGAAACCCCTCTCACCTTAGGCAACACTACTCTGTCTCACCCAACCTCTCTCTTCATCGCTCTCACCATCCTTCGTCTCTCTCTCTCTGTCTCACACTCTCTGTGTGCTCAGTCTTTTGCTGTTTATTTGTGCAGGTTTCACTAATCAGCCTGATGTTTTGTCTCCTGATTGGCTGCAGTAATGAGGTCCTGGAGGTCAACAGCAAAGATCATTATCCCTCTGACTTTATATGTGTGTGTGTGTGTGTGTGTGTGTGTGTGTGTGTGTGTGTGTGTGTGTGTGTGAATCCAGCTCATAATGTGTGTATCACCAGTACATATGGATTCATGCTCGCAATCTTCATTCTATAGGACACTGACATAGTCAAACATATGTGCATGTTCAAAACCACACACACAAACACACGCTCTTTCTCTCTTACACACACACACACACACACACACACACACACTGATTGATGACGTAGTTAATGTGGTTGTGTGAAATAGAGGAGACCTGCGCAGGTCTTTACTTTCTGAGATCCACATCAACACCTTTCACTGGGAGACTATTCCAGCCGCTAAGTCAAACATACAGTGTACTGTTGATGAAGGCATACGTGTGTGTGGATACTTTTTTTTATATCCTGGTGAGAACACACACCAACGTATGGGGACTTGTGTCTCTGTGGGATCCTAAGACTTTGTTTTATGGTTCAGGTTCTAGTTAGGATAAGGGTTAAGGCATGTAGTTAGGATGGTCAAGGTGAAGGTAAGGAGCGGGGGAATGCATTCTGTCAATGGGCTGTCCCCAAAGGGATAGTAAAATCCAAGTGTGTGTGTGGGGGTGTTTGCCTGAGGTATGCACAGAAACCTGCCTTGCTCTGGGAGATGAATGACTTTTGGAAAGTGCCACATAGCTTCGCTTGAGGATGTGTTCCAGATCAGGAGATATGAAACAAAAACCCAGTTTTCTCTCTCTCTCTCCCTCTCTCTAACTTTGTCTCTCTCGCGCGCTTTCTCTCTCTCTCTCTCACACACACACACACACACACACACACACACTCTGGAAATGCCAGTTTTATAAATCATGTTTCTAAAATACAAACAGGTTTATCATAATTCTTGACTTTAAAGTCCCTCTGAATTTCTTTATTAAAATAACAGATATTCTTTGAACATTGTATCCACCAATCAGAAAACTATACATTCTACTTTCTACAAACAACCATTTTGCAGTTTGGTTATGTTGTGTGCAAAGTTTGGCTAAGTTGCTGGAGGCCAGAGTCATGGTACCTACATGGAAAGATCTCAAACCCTCTCAAGACCTATATTATAACATTTTTGAGATACACGGTCAAGTCCATTTTAATACACTTCTCACGTGCATGTTTCCTGTGAGAGTTATGGGTCGTTCTCTCC